ATCGAAGCGTTTGTTTGGTCTTGCAGGACTCCCGGTCTTAGAAGCCTAAAGTATTCAAGAACGAAATTAGTAACGGGAATTTCAGTGATGACTTTTTATTCCCATTGAGCTTATTCCATTACAAAGTAATCCCAGAACGAGCAGCTTTCCGTTTCCGGTGGGCTTGTTGCCGTGGTAACCAGCACGCACCACCAGCTTGGCGGTTATGGCCGAGCTGAGCGGCGCGCAGATCCCCGATGGGGAGTTCACTGCCGTCGTGTACCGGCTCATCCGGGATTCGCGCTACGCCGAGGCCGTGCAGCTGCTGGGCGGCGAGCTCCAGCGGAGCCCGAGGAGCCGCGCCGGCCTGTCGCTGCTGGGCTACTGCTACTACCGCCTGCAGGAGTTCGCGCTGGCGGCCGAGTGCTATGAGCAGCTGGGCCAGCTGCACCCGGAACTGGAGCAGTACCGCCTGTACCAGGCCCAGGCCCTGTACAAGGCCTGCCTTTATCCAGAGGCCACCCGGGTCGCCTTCCTCCTCCTGGACAACCCCGCCTACCACAACCGCGTCCTCCGCCTGCAAGCAGCGATCAAGTACAGCGAGGGCGACCTGCCCGGAGCCAAGAGCCTGGTGGAGCAGCTACTGGGCGGGGAAGGGGGAGAGGACAGTGGGGGCGAGAACGAGCCCGATGGTCAGGTCAACCTGGGGTGTTTGCTCTACAAGGAGGGACAGTATGAGGCCGCGTGTTCCAAGTTCTTTGCGGCCCTCCAGGCTTCGGGCTACCGGCCTGACCTTTCCTACAACCTGGCTTTGGCCTATTACAGTAGCCGGCACTATGCCTCGGCTCTAAAGCATATCGCCGACATTATTGAGCGTGGCATCCGCCAGCACCCGGAGCTAGGTGTGGGCATGACCACTGAGGGCATCGATGTTCGAAGTGTTGGCAACACCTTAGTCCTTCACCAGACTGCCCTGGTGGAAGCCTTCAACCTGAAAGCAGCCATAGAATACCAACTGAGAAACTATGAAGTGGCCCAGGAAACCCTCACTGACATGCCACCTAGGGCAGAAGAAGAGTTAGACCCCGTGACCCTGCACAACCAGGCGCTAATGAACATGGATGCCAGGCCTACAGAAGGGTTTGAAAAGCTACAGTTTTTGCTCCAACAGAACCCCTTTCCCCCGGAGACCTTTGGCAACCTGCTGCTGCTCTACTGTAAGTATGAGTATTTCGACCTGGCAGCAGATGTCCTGGCCGAGAATGCCCACTTGACTTACAAGTTCCTCACACCCTATCTCTATGACTTCTTGGATGCCTTGATCACCTGCCAGACAGCCCCTGAAGAGGCTTTCATTAAGCTTGATGGGCTAGCAGGGATGCTGACTGAACAGCTCCGGAGACTCACCAAACAAGTACAGGAAGCAAGACACCATAGAGACGACGAAGCTGTCAAAAAGGCAGTGAATGAATATGATGACACTCTGGAGAAGTACATTCCTGTGTTGATGGCCCAGGCCAAAATCTACTGGAACCTTGAGAATTATCCAATGGTGGAAAAGATCTTCCGCAAATCTGTGGAATTCTGTAATGACCATGATGTGTGGAAGTTGAACGTGGCTCATGTCCTGTTCATGCAGGAAAACAAATACAAAGAAGCTATAGGTTTCTATGAACCCATAGTCAAGAAGCATTATGACCACATCCTGAATGTCAGTGCTGTTGTGCTGGCTAACCTGTGTGTTTCATATATTATGACCAGTCAGAATGAAGAAGCTGAGGAGTTGATGAGGAAGATTGAAAAGGAGGAAGAGCAGCTGTCCTATGATGACCCCGATAAGAAAATCTACCACCTCTGCATTGTGAATTTGGTGATAGGC